CATAGATGGTCATATAGACTATAGTTGTGAGCTGTGATAGCATTCATAGGTCACAGAGGCCGGAGTCAAGAACTGCACAAGCTGCGAGCCGCGTTGGTCGAAGTTAGTCATATAAGATGTGGTGGTTAGCTGTGATGACATTTATAAGTCGCAAAGGCTAGAGTTAGGAGCTATATGAGTTGTAACACGTAAGTCGTAGTTGGTCATTTAGGTCATATTGGTGAGTGGTGATGACATTCGTAATCCATAGATGCAAGTGTCAGGAGCTGCACTAGATGTAAGCCACGTAGGTCATAATTGGTCACTTGGACCATAATGGTGAGCTGTGATGACGTCCGTAGTAGCAAAGACCAGAGTCGGGAGCTACACGAGTTTTAAACCACTTATGTGTAGTGGAGAAATGTGATGATGTCTGTGGGATGCAGAGGCTGAAGCCGGAAGCTACATGAGGTGTAATCCATGTAAATCTTAGTTGGTCATATAGGTCATAGTGGTAAGCATTGATGACATTCATAGGCCACAAAGGACAGAGTCGGGAGCTGCATGATATGTAAGCCACATAGGTAATAATATTAAGTTGTGATGATGTCCTTAAGCTACAGAGATTGAGGTTAGAAGCTGCAAGGATAGAGGATTAGGATTCCAGAGAAAGTCACCATCCTTGGGATGTATTTTTACACCATCTTTGGTAAGCGTCATTGCCCTGTAAGTGGGTTGCATTATTACTCTGTCATTGGGGTGTGTCATTGCATCATACTTGGAGGGCACTATTATACCATCTTCAAGGAGCGTCACATACAATGTAATGTGTGACATATTGGTTCGTTGGATGCTTCACTTTTTTCACAACATATGATGGGATTCCTCAAAACACTTTATGAATTTGCAAGGGACTTCGCTGCAAGGAGTACATGACTGTCGATAGTGGTTGACAACGGCCAAAGCGCAGTGATCGATAGTGGTCAGTGGCTATAGAAGCATGAAGCATTTGGCAGATTGTTGGTGTTGAATACTAGACTTCTGCCTCTTCTTCTCTGTGTTACAATCTTCCTCTAGCTCGAACTAGGTCCCCTTTGCAAGAGGGGGTGGGACTCTGTTGATAGAGTCCATATTGAAATAAGGAAGGATTCTAAACCTCACTCTATTTGGATGGTGTTGAGAAGTTCCCTCGATTGAAAGATGTTCTGTGGACATTTAAGTGTCTTAATAATGTCAGAATTTAGTGATCTTGGACTCGTTGTATTCATCTTTTTCAGACCATCGATTTTATTATAAGTTTTTCATACTCAGAATCCATTTGAATTTCAAATTATGCACTGAAAGCTTCCAAAAGTAATTTAACAGCTTGATTTAGGCATGATTTGACTTGGATCAGATCAATTCATCATTACGTCGACGTTATAACTTGAGAACCTAATACCCCTTTCCCGCCTGTGGGACTGGTGGTTGCAACTGTAATCATCTTTTTTTAGCGGAACTTTTCAGCTGGGTCAGACACCGTGGTTTTTCTCTTTCTGCGTTTTTTCACATACAAACTTCTAGTGTTACTGTTAATTGATTACTTTTTTTCTGAGTATATGATCAATTTTCATACCACGATAAGACCATAATCTGTTACTTTACTGCAGCAAATTTTCTGGTACATATTAATATATATA